ATTTCCCTGATATACAGCCTTGCGCTGCAGTTCTGGGTCCAGGTTGCGAATTGGAGCATTATAAATCAGATTTTGTAAGCCATATTAAATAAATAAACGTTCATTTTCCACAAAAACTCTTCGCAGATATTTTCAAGTAGTATATACTTCATTACAAATAGCCGCTTCGACTAATTATCTTTCCCTTGTTAAAATTCGCATTAACAGATAAGAGCGTAGCTTAACTTCACCCGCTTGGCAGGCATAGAAACGCACAGTGGAAATGATTTCGAAGTCAAATGTACCATCCTAACCTTTGAAGAAGAGATATCTGCTAAGGAAGAATCATTGTGGATCTCTGCAAATATCCACTAATGAATAAGAAGAAAGAGCTGTCTATACAGCCGACTTTTTGCCGTTCGTATCTTTAAGCGAGCCACTTTATGAATCTCACTTGATGCACATTCTATAGTATGCCTCATTCGTCCGCCACCATCGCTTCCGGCTCGAACTTCTTCCCTATAGCTGTGGTCTCTGGACAGATTCATCTCTTGCCTATTTCCTACGAATGTGAGATTGGAAGTTGAGATACAGGGTTAGAGGAGGCGTTTGATGACAACATCATTCAACAGGCGACACTTTGGACAGCCTTTGAGAAAGACGAAAGATTTGAATAGGCCCTCAGCCTGAATAAAGACCACCTTACAAACGCGTGCGGCAAGAAACAGCAGTTACACAATGCCCAGGTTTAAAGAAAGAGAGGAAAGGAGAATTCTTATAATCCATTTCTACTACAAATTATTTATAAATATATAAGAATTATGGGGAATTACAATTATAAATTTCAATTAAATCATCCCAAAATCAAGAACAGTGGTAATTAGGAAAAATTTCAATCTCTTCTTACGCAAATAATAGGAATAGAAGAGCCAGAACTACTATAGCACCCAGTCCAGCAGCGTTCAGAGTTTTCGCACATGTTGGAGTCTTAGTTTTGCACCTAAAATAAGGTTTTTAAAAGATTCTTATTATATTATTATAAGAAGAAAATCTTCAAATAAACGAATAAGATAACGACTATGAGCAAAAGAAAGTAGAAAAGTGGTAGTTATTTCGGAATTTGAGTGAGCTTTATCGAAAACAAGATTTCTTTTACTAAGTGTGTGCGAAATCTATGATTTTAAAAATGACATTCTCATCTGCAAACGAACCTCTCAGCGTGGTAAAAGCGGATTTTTAGATGAAAAAGTGGTCACTTACTCAAAACATCTTAAACTAATCAATTTTCCCCGGCTGGTTCGTCCATTGACAACTGCGCATTACTTACGTGTCCAGCGCATGGGACGTGCCTTTTTATCGACTTCCGTTTTGTTTGAAGTTAAACCATCTGTTTATTAAATAAATCAAAAATCTATGAAAGTTCATGGGGCGACACATGTGGTCAGACAGCTGTCAAACGGTTCCATGCATCCCAGAATGCGTTACCCACTGTGGTTAGCGCGGTCTGAATGGATTAGGCAAGCGATAAGTGAAAATAAAAAAATTTTTAGAGAGTCATTTAGCAGATAATGAAGGCAAATTAGGATCGCTTTCAAACGTATTTATTGATATGGATCCCTTTCAAAAAGACAATAATTATGTACTTTTATTGCAACGCATTTTATTGCACAGCAACAAGAATAAAAATGTCGTTCAAACACAGAAATATAACTACTAAGTTGCCACAATTGAGTGACCCAAATGATTGATTTATTAGAATGAACCTACCTGTTCACTAGTACCACTACAGCAAAAATTGCAATAAAAAGTTGGAGTATTGGTATAAAGAGAAATGCGAGTGCGTTACTGAATATAGGCGAAGCTGTGAAATCCTAAATAATGCCACGGTAGACGGTGATGTTGACTCAGTGAGAAGATCACGCGAGGGATTTAGCAAGCAGTGAAATGTATTTGTAAAACCTCACGTTTGAGTTCTGTACCAATGTAGCAGCACTTTTGAATTCTTGCATTTCCTTTAAGATCCCTTTAAAAGTCTGAAATACAATTAAGGAAATAACGGTGAAATTTGATAACTCGATCTATCTTCCAATCACTTTGTTGACATGCTTGGGATATGAGTCCATGTTCTTTTTTATTTCCATTCTCTGCGCATCAATGTAGTTCTCTATGTTTGAGAGCTAGAAAGTAATAGTTTAGTTTTTAAGATTAAGTATATTTAATTACTTTTCTAAATCTCCTCAGTTTTGCAAAAAAAAAATTGACCTCAGCTACCAAAACTTTTGAAATTTCTTCCACATCAGCGACATCATTTGGCTTCGGATTCCAATCATCTACCGTGCTCTTCTGGAACTGGGAACGAATTTCACAATCTTTTCAGCCGATCTTCTCACAATACCACATTCTTGATTGTTGATGCTAATTCGTGAAGCCGCTTCAATGGTGATTTTTCGAGAAGATTTTCCATTTGCTGAAGACTTCCTAGTAATTTTTGTTTGAATGTTAGTATCTGGAAATGAGTATCACTTCTAGGTTGCAAACCCTTCACTGTCACTCCGCTTACGCTGCTGATGTTGCCTTGGGTAAAATTTGTTCGATACTCATTTAAAGTACGAGTAACGTTAGAGATGATATACTGAATGCGCTGATCAAGTTCCGGTCTTTTCAAATTGAAACGGCATAAAGTTGTCGAAGAGGAGTTTATAATAAATTCTTCGATACCTTTAATGGCCCAATTTTAGCAGCTGCAATAAACAATCTGCAAAAAATACTTGTGTAAGAATTTGCGACATCCTCATCAACTGTACTATATCCACTCCCGATAGCCATTGCACTTTGAATGAGACAATATATTCCTGCGATAGTGATCAGTATGCATAGCGTTAGTGATAAAAAAGCGAGTATAGGTGTACTTGATCGAGTGGATCGCTGAATATCGTGTTTAGGAAGGGTTTGGTAAAATCCCTTGTAGATTACCTTTCCTGCAACAAGATTCTTCCCACAAAATGCAAGAGCGGCAGTTCCAAATGCTAATGCTAGTAGAAGACTTATTGCTACCACTACTATTACCGTTATCTAAATTGCAATTCTATAAGACAAAGCTTCATGGCCTCTGTACAAGCTTTGTTGATTCATTGATGAAAGAAGAAATTCAAAGTAGTGTAA